AAACAATCAATTACAATATTAATTAATGGTAAAAACAATATATCTATATCTAATACGATTATAATAATATAATCGTGATCTTTGACGATCTCCGAATCTTATTCAATTTTTGATGATCTCCGTAATCTTATTCAATCTCATTGACACAATGTATACCCACATAATATTTTACTTTAAACCGCATTACTGAAATCCCCAAGGTTGAGTAAAAATATTATACATAGACTCAACAAAAGTGACAGCATAATGCCGTAGCATTTCGCACAACTACTTGAACTTTGAAATGTTGCAATTCGGTCGAAAGAACCAATGATATAAGTTCAATCATCAGAACCATAAAAATTCTCTTGCAGAAAATTGTAATATTTATGAAATTTCCAACCGAATCACTGTTTACATTGTACATCCCAGAAGTTCTTGATAATTGTTGCCTGAGAATGTAAGATTTATATCAATTTTGATTCCATCGTGAGCTTGTATTATAATTCGACTCTGTCCCACAGGCAGACCCTAATGAAAGCCTTACTAGAAAATCTGTAATAAATACATTTATGCTACCAAATAAATTAATTTATGAGATCCATTACCCTTAGTAACATGGTTCTATTACTTCTATAAAATTTAGGTTTCTGCAAAAAGTTTCACAATAAGGAGACTGTGTTTGTAAGAAGGTGAACACATACTGCTACCTTCCAAATATGGTTATAGATTGAAGTTTAGGATTGACGAAAGAAATGAAAAATCCATAGGGAAAACAAGATAATCCGTTGATTAAAAGATGGCAAAGAGAGAACCCTACAATCAACATAAATGAAACTCCAGAAACAAAAAAACACACCAAATCTGGGTGTGATTCAGCAGCTCCAAGGACAGCCTGCCGATTGGGTTGGGCTTCAATGTCCCAAATAAGAACCTATATTCATGATAAAACCAAAATTAATCTGCATATTTCAAAATAACTGTGCCACGAATACTAAAAGGAACATGAACCTCGAATCAATACTTACTTCAGGGCAGTCAGTGTGCGTTGCCACTATATTTTTATTCTGTGGAAGTTCCCTGATTCTGTTGACCTACAGTGTGATTGACAATTTAAAAATAATGACATCAATGCTTATGGTGATAGGATGTTGACTGAAGTAGTAGTTATTGTTGTCATTGACGAAGATGAGAATTGGTGGGGCCTTGCAATGGAATATCAAATGTAAAAACAAATAGCAAGAAATTTTTAAAAAGTACTGCACAAATACGCTTAAAAATTTTCATACAGGTAAGACAGATAGAAGGAAAAATACTTTTTATCTCTATTTTTTTACCCCTACTAGGTATCGGTATAGACTGTCAGTATCATTGAGTCTATCAATTGTTATACTTGGGTCCTCCCATGAACCTTGGTGGAGGGAAGTAGGAATCAAATGTTGCGTGGGGAGGAGTATATTATCCTCCAGGAGGGAGAATTGCACTATTTCTGCCTTCTATTTCCAGTATTTCATTCACATTGGTTTGAAATGCCTGTAGATGTGGTGTCAAGCGAAGACAGATAGACTGCTCAAGGTAAGGACCAGAGAATAGGTGAAAAGTTTGCTAATGTGGGCTATGCAAACCATAAGCACTAGAATGATTCGAAAATTCCAGCTACAAATTTAGCCGCCTCAAAAAAATACATATAATTTGTCACATTAAAGGCACAATATTTGCACGCATACTAGAGAATAAATAACGACCTCGAATAGATACAGCACAGAATGCATATTTTATCTGAAATGTATGCATAAATGTTCATGGTGCCAATCACGTCCATGTATTCATGCAGCTCGTACCTCTCCAGGATGTATGATAGTTTTATACTTCTTAACGAAAGGTGAGCTTGCATCTTCATTGAACTAGCAATCAAGCAATTAATGAGAATCAGATCAACATGTTGATAATATATTTAAGTTAATAATTATGTCCAGTTATAAACTTACATTTGCTATATGGTTTTCTGCTGCGACTCGGGGCTTCACAATATCACAATTTGCTACAATTAAAGTGTTAGGCACAGTCTGATCAGTCTGGTCAGCGAAAAGGAGAAAAACGATCAGTTCACTGATAAAATAATAGGCATACTAATTGAAAATTAGTACATTTGGGAATTTAGAAAGCGATTCCTCAACAGTAACATAGCTTTAGTAAATAACAGTGGAAAACATAGTCTATTTTACAAGAACAAAATGCTCTGTAACACAGACACTTCAATTAGGGTAGCGTGTCTGTGTCCGACACATCCATTTGGGAATTTAGAAAGCGATTCCTCAACAATAACATAGCTTGAGTAAATAACAGTGGAAAATTTATCATAGCTTTTGGGAATTATCATACCGAATACCATTCGTTTGGCTTTGTTTTACATGGAATTTGTCAATAAAAATGATAATTTTTTTTTACCATTGTATTTATAATTTTTTCTAATTGCAAACAAAAAAAAACCTGGAAAACACTTTTCCACCAAATAGGTAAGAAAACCTATTCCTTGAAATGCTGGAAAGATGGCGCGTGAGGATGGAGGCTAGAAACCAAATTCAAGGGAAAATTTTGGTAATCAAACTCTCCAAAACATGGAAAATGGGAAAAAATTTCCTACTTTCTTGGAAATTTTGGTGAATCAAACGGGGCTTTAGTTCTCCATGGAAAACTTGAGCAAAAAATAAAGAAAAATATATATGGAGGCGTCCCCCTTTGTTCTGGTACATTCTAGGGTTGAAATAACATGAAAAAAGTTGGTTTCCATAAGAATTTGACGTAAACTAGGAAAATGAGTTTCACGTCACAAATTACTACCATGCGACCTCATAGTGATAAGTGTTGCGATCGCATAGAAGTCTTGAACTGGGTGCTGGATTTCTTTGAAGGGGCACATGCGACCACATAGGGAATCAGGCTATGCGACCGCATAGCTTATCCCACTTTCACAATTTTTGCGTTTTGGTCCTCGAACTTCGTTCCTCGTTTTGTGACTTCTTTCTCCACTTCTTCTTCTTCCCATACTTTATTCTTTAGCTCAATTTGACCTTAACAAAAAAAAAAAAAAAGGAAAGTTGGAAAATGAAAAACCAACAAAACCCAAAGAAAACAAATTCAATGAAAAGTGAGAAAACCAATGCGGTCAGGAAGAAAAACAATTCCATGGAAAAAGTGTGTCATCAAACACGAGAAAAAGAGTGGAAACGGAAAATGTTTTCCATTTCTAGGGAAAAGTGGTGTATCAAACACACCCTAATAGAAATGCTAAAGAATAACACATAAAAGTGCTTTTGCATGATGGATGAGAAAATTGAGAGGGAAGGAATTATAGGAATTTCATGCAAAATACAAGAAAAATAAAATAAAATTCATTACTTATGTCGCCGATTAAGTATAGTAGAACTCTTTACCGTTAATATCTCCCATGTTAACGAATAGTGGGGGCAAAAAAAAAAGGAAGAAGAAATGAATCGTTCAGGTTTCAAGTTATAGAAGATGGAAGGAGATGAATTAAAATATACAGAATTGAATTTTCAATATAGTCAATATTAGAAGAATAATGCAAGCTATAATAGGTGTAACAACTGTTTCATGCATTGCTGACCATAAAAAGAAGGTAGACAATTTTAACTTGTATTAATCCAAATAAATGAAATATGACATGTAATATTATGTGTGTGTCTGTGAGTGCAACTAGACATGTTTTAGCGTCCTTATGCAATTGAAAAAATTACAAACAATGATGTAAAGCATTAATAACAACAAAAGGAAGGAGAGAGAGAGAGAGAATTTATTCATAAAAATAAATCCGACCAATACAATGGTGTAAAGCATTAATCAAAAAAGAAAACAAAAAAAAAAAGAATCTTAGTCATAATAAATAAACAACCCACGTCCTTGTCTCTTCAAATGACTCCTTATAAATCAAAAGAGTAAGAAATGTGTGCAATGCATATTAAACACCACTACACATTATATGAACAGTAAGTCAAGACACCAATATATGCTTACTAAGTGCTAACTGATAATTGAAGGCAATATTTAAATACATCAACTTTACCTGTTCAGAAAGGTAGAGACGCTGTTTGTCCTTGTAAGATCCATTCTCGATAACTGGGCCCCAACTATAACCATGAAAACACCAACATATAAATGAAGGACCATATTAATTTTTTGAATAAATATAAACAGGTATATTAATAATTTCATGATTACAGTATATCAAATAAAAAATTTACAATCCATTAAATTTACACAACAGATGTCCTATATCATAAATCTTAAATCACAAGCACACACCATGCACACAAACATCATATATGTTTCATCTAACAAACATTGAATTCAGTGATTTCATTTTTGCATTCATCTAGACAAATTTTTTGGAGATCTATTTTATATTGATTTATTGAGTTTTACACAAAATATTAAGAGGCCTGTTAGTTTAATTTTCATTTAAATATTTTTCTTTACCAAAGTAACCCAATTTTTTTGTGGTTTACATAAATGATTTAGCCCATGTTTGAGCCCCACTCATTTTTTCACAAACTCAATTTCAACTACACATTTTCCCAGTAATATAATTTTACACGTAAACCCCAAACTTTTTACTACTTTTTAACCACACATTCTCTAATAAAAGATTACTATTACACAATATATTTTCCAAAAAATAGGGCTCAAACATAGGGCATGTTCGGTACAGCTTAAAATTCAATTAAAATTGAAAATATATCCGTTATTGGGTCCCACACGTCTAATAAAAGTCAACAATAACGGCTAATTTTTCAATTTTAATCCAATTTTAATCTCTACCAAACACGCCCATAGCCTTATAATATTTGAAGTAGAATTGTCCTGCTTACCCATTTTTTTAAAGAACAAATTTTGCCCTTGTATTTGGCGTGGCTTAAAAATTTGATGTACATTTAAGTAAAAAAACAACAATAAATTTTAACCACACATTTCACATAACCCCAGCTTTTATCAACTTTTCAATCGTACATTTCATAAACTTTTATCAAAATCAAAATCTAATAAAAATCTAAACTCTAGCTACACCAAATAGTGGCTTAGTTTTTCCTTGGAAGTACCCCCCAAAATATTTGGTGACCGGAGGGTAAAAAAAAACCCAAACCCTATATCCATCTTATAAGATTTCTGCAGCACACCATGTCCTTCAGACTCAATTCCCAACAAAAGAACAGGTAAATCTCTTCCCTCTAGTATCTATTTTCTATGCATGAAGGCCTTATTTCTGAAACTCTGTTAGTAGTTTTCGGGGAATATCTTGGATAATTCCAGAAATATTATCTGTATAATGTATATATAAAGAAAATTATGTATTAATTGCAGTGTTTTTGTTTACAATCTACTATGATATTATATATATGGGAAAAAGGCAAACAATTTCTTTCAACAAAGCTATCATCATTATCCTATACGCAAGTGGAAGAATCTTATCAAGGCAAGAAAAGCAATGGAGTCCCAACTTTTAGAGCATGCTTGGCTAAGCTTAAAATAAGCAGAAGTTACTTTTAATAATAAAAAATTATTCAAAGATGTTGAGGATATGTTACTTTTTCTCACTTCTAAGTAACAAAAGTACTTATTTCAAAGTCTGTCTTGTGTTGTTGAGAAAATAAGTAACCTCCTTATTTCTAAGTTCAATCAACAAAAAAGTTATTTTAAACTAAGCTTAGCCAAACATACTATTAACCATTTTTAAATGAAAAGTTCATGAAAGAATGACAGGTTTTTCATGAAGGATGACAAATTAAAAGGAAGAAACATTTAAATAGGATGTGTGTAAAAAATAGTAAATAGCTCATTTTCAAAAACTCATGTTAGCAGAAGAGCGGTAATTTTTTTTTCTCCCTTTCAAACAGTCTCGTATAGCAAACAAGCATGATTTTAGTTTTAAATAACACGAACAATAAAAATCTACAAAAAAATAAAAACACAATTAAACATATGTACATACGAATGTTTGCATATGCAGGCATCCAGCAGCTCCAACCCATTTTCTTTAGTAAAACCACATCATATAGGTTTCAAACGAAAAAAACCCTAACAGAAAACCGAACAAGCTAAAGACGAGGAAATGTTAGAGCGGTACCGGCAAGAGAGAGAAGGCCAGACAAGGTTGTGATGAGCAAACCAGTCGTAGAGCACTGGCACCAACTGCTTCCAATGAATATACCTTTCGTCCCAGGTGGCGTTTATCTTCTCGCTGCCGGTGCCTCTCCTTTTAGCAGTAGCCTCTTTCTCCTTGTCTTCTTTCGATTTCGTCAAGCCCTTTGGCCTTCCCCGCTTCTTCGGCTCCATCGTAAACTTTTTCCGATGTTAGGGCTGCTACGATTTTAAGGCTATTACTGAGTAGTGAGTACAGTCGGAGAGATTCAGAGCTTCATGTGCGACTATGCAACAAGTTTAAGGGTGCGTTTGATTGGACGGGTGAAAAATAGGTGAAAGGAAATCTTTTACAGTGAAAATAGAGGAAATTACACCCAGCCCTACTTTTAAATTATCATTTTCATAAATCCTTATTCAAGTTTGCTATTGCAAAAATCAGGTTGTAATTAATAAATTTAAAACATTTTTTTATTCTTATTTTTATATTTCCCAACCCTAACCCACAACCCACACCTTCCCCTTCCCCTTTCTCTCTCTCTCTACCCGCCGCCTCCTCCCTCCCTCCTCCTTCTCCTCCCCCCCTTCTCCTCCTCTTCCCTTTCTCCTCCTCCCTCCTACACTCTCCTCACTGTCGCAGCGTCGAACGCTACTCACAGCAGCGTTCGACGCTGCCGAACGCTGCTCTGTAAAATTTACAGAGCAGCGTTCGACGCGGCTGTGATTACAGCAGCGTCGAACGCTGCTCTGATTTACAGCAGCGTCTGCAGTGATTTACAGAGCAGCGTTCGACGCTGCTCTGATTTACAGCAGCGGTGAACGCTGCTCTGATTTACAGTCGTGTTTGGGAGGGATTTAAATTTTTCTACAGTAAATCAATTCTCATTTTCAACCACACATTTTTTAATAGAATAATATTTTCCATCACATCAATAATTTTTTCTTCTTTTTCAACCACACATTTCACATCATATCACTATTCAAAATCAATTTTTCCCCCAAAAATCTCTCACAAACAGGCACTTAATAAGCCCCATTTGATCTACGTTATTATTTCATTAAAATTAGGATGGACACCATCAGATTCGATGAAAAATATCCGATTATATTTTTCATTCTCATTCTAAAATAATTCTAGAGAGGGAAATTTTTTAGAGGCGCAATATCCGACTTGTGTTTCAATTTTCGATTTTTTATTTTTTAACCCCTGTTTGGGTCACATTATTTTTTTATTCTCATTCTTCTACTCATTTTCAACCACACATTTTTCAATAAAATAATATTTTTCATCACATCAATAACTTTTCATTCTTTTTCAATCACGCATTCTCCATCACATCACTTCAAAAAAAATGTATTCTCTCTTTTTAATGCATACCAAATGGGCTTTTATTTGTTTTGAGGATTTATTTTTCAAATTTTTAAAAGTACATTTAATTTATTATTTTTAAAATTATTTCTCAAAACAAAAAATTAGAGTACACGTCTGGTTTGAAATTTTGAAAAATTGTTTTATAATATTTTAATTCATGAAATTTGATTATTTAATAAGAATATAATAATTTTATATTAATATATTATCAAGTAATATATATGTTTTAAAGTTGATGAATTATAAAATTATTTTCCCTCACTACAAGAAGTAAAATAATAAATAAAACACAGAGTTCAAAATATAAAAAAAAAATGATGATGTGAACTAAGAATATTTTTATTTGCATTTTTTTTTTATGTAAATAATCATTAAGGGTTTAAACTATTTTTATTTTTTATAAATTTTATTATTTCAGAGAATTTTTTATTTTTTAATTTTTAGAATTTTTGTTTGAAAATTTATTTTTAGACATTTATATTTATGTTTTTTAGAATTTTAAATTTTTAAATTTATTTAAATAAGATTTTATTCAAAAGCTTGTTTCCCATGTTTTGAATGTTTTTGGAATTTCCAAAGAAAATATTCAAAACGACAAAAAATGAATTTTGAGTTTTATGTTATAAATTTAACATTATTTTTAAAAATGAATTTTAGAAAATGCTATACCAAACACACTTTCAACATTTTGCAAAATAGAAAACAGTTTGAAAACAGCTAACCAAACGCACCATAATATTTTGAACGCACCATAATATTTTGAAAGACCGAAAAACAAAGGAAATTAATGTAATATTATTTGAGGTATATTTTCACCCCCAATTGTTGGTACTTGTTAGTTTTTAAGAGTAATGAAAATCATCCAAGATCAATATAACGTAATTTGGAGCATATTTCTTATCCACCGAATTTGTGATTTTTTATTATTCTTCGAATTTTCCTCCAATTTTATCATCTATAAAACAATTACTTTATAACTAAAGAAATTATGTAAAAACTGCTTATAAAGTAAAAAAATAAAATATAAAAAAATACTATTAGTGATACAAAGAATTACTTATAGTATATAAGAGTTGCTTATAAGTGAAAAATTTACTCGTGTGTAAGAAATTATTTATAAGTACAAAATTTAACTTATAATTGTAAAATTTACTTACACGTAAAAAATTGCTTATATAATTATAAGTAACTTAACTCGTATACTATATTTTTACATATGAGTCATTTCTTTTACATATAAGTTAAAGTTTTCACTAGAAGGCATATATATAATTTTATTTTTTAACAAAGCATTCAGAACCACTGGATAATAAAATCTCAATGATGGATTGGACGGTTTAAAAACATATACGAAAATCCACTCAAAATTTATTAATCATAAATGTCCAAAACGTGTACTTTAAAAAACTTAGGGGCTGTTCTATTTGGCCGTTTTGTGTCGTTTTGTGTTTTCAATTTTTCAAAACAGTGAAAATGCGTTATTTTTTTCATTTTTGAAAACGCATTTTTGAAAACGAAAAAAAATTTGTACACAAAACGTAAAAAATATCGTTTTGGATGTTTTCAAGCAAAAACACGACTGAGGGCCAAAACACGGGAAATGCTCTTTTGGAACAGTAACACCTACTCCCAGTATTTCGATTTCTTCCGTCTTCTTCCAATCCATCCCCTCTCTTCATTTTCAATCGATTCTTCCACCAAATCAAAGGCTACGTATGAAACTTTACAGGATTTATTTGTTAAGGTTACTTAATTTTTCATATGTTAGTTAAGAGTATTTGAAAATATATTGCTTGATTCTTGGATGCATTACAAAATTACTAATTGAATCTTTCTCTTGTATTTTTCTACATGTTTTTATTTTTTCACATTTTTAGTAATATCTGATATATTTTATATTTTATGTTTTTCTAATATGGCCAGAAGAAGCTAGATGGTTTTTATACTTATAATAATTAGTACACTTTGATCCAGGTAAGGACCGTAAGGTTTATTGCTGAATAATTGAATTTTTCTCTATAGTGATTGAAGTTTGCAATACAGTCCATTTTGTGTTAACCTGAGTTGTTTAAATCAAAACCCAATCCAAGAGTTGTTCAGAACCTAAACCCATTTATCTGATAGTTAATTAACTTAGTTGTATCTTTGTATGACTTCAGGTATCTTTGTATCTTATGTTGTAATGTCTTAATTAATGTTTTGCTGATGCCATTTGCATTGGTGAGAAGAAGATTAATGGGGAAGATTGCTTCATTTTGAAGCTGTCTGCGGACCCATCAGACATTGAAGGCCAGGAGTGAAGGACTAGCAGAGATTATAAGGCATGCACTCTTTGGTTATTTCAGCCAATCTGGGCGTGAATGGTGATGCAGTGTATGGTGAATGGTGATGCAGTGTACTGGGAGACTACTATCAGTTCTTTCCTTGATGATTACCGGCCTTTTGAAGGAATCATGATTGCTCACTCTGGGCGTTCTGCGGTGACTCTTTTTCTGTTTGGGGAGATGGCGATGAGCCATTCGAAAACCAGGATGGAAGAAACTTGGACAATTGAAGAGGTTGCATTCAATGTTCCTAGTCTATGACTAGATTGTTTTATTCCACTGGCTGACTTGAGATCAGCTTCCATCAGTGAAGCTCGCGAATTCCCTCAGGAAGAAAGGGAAAAGTCAACAATTTCCCATGCAGGTCATCAAGCGAAAGTTGCTGCTGTGGAGAAAATCCATGACAGTGGCATTGATAACATAGTCTGGAAAATGAAAATCTAACCAAATAGTAGAGTCAACTCATGGCAATTGTTCATATGGGTAGGCATATTCCATTTGATTAACAAAATATTAGGAGTTACAAATTCCTAGCTTAGTTATTGAATAATTTTCTTATAGTAGTTTGCACACCTCTATTAGTCTGTATAGTACATAATCATCCACATGTTTTTCTCGAGCCTTGATGAATATTTATACTTCTATTGAAGAAGCCAACTAAAGGGTTGGATCTCATTGCTTAATAATATTATTCTATTCTTAACGTGGTTTTGCTAACTTTTCCCTGCATATTAATGGTTTAATGCATAAGCTCTGGCAGTTAGAAGGCAAATTCAGCTATATTTTGGTAATTCGTTGAATTCATTGTAATGGTCATTACTTATATGTAAAATACTCTATTTTGCTTGTTATGTTACAATTTTTTTAGTTTAAATTGCACATAAGAGTGAAAAATGGCTTCCTTGTCTGAAATTAAATAGTTTGAAAAATTTGTTATCTTTTTATGAAGAATGTGATGAAGATAATATATGCATTTTTTTTATTCTGGACACGGAAATAAGACAAAGCTTTTGAATTAAATGAGAGAATTTTAGCAATGTTATCTCATTGATTTTTTTCTTCAATCGATTAACATTTGTTTTTGATATGTGGAAAAAATATTTCAAAATCTAACAACTTCAAAATTAACATTATTAATTAATACTATATTAACATTAAACTATTAAAATTTATTGAATAATCAGATTTTTTGAATAAAATATTATAAAAAAAATTCTCAAAATTTCAAAGTAAACGCGTTTTCAAGTTTTCTATGTTGAGAAACAGTTTTTCAAAATGATAAAGATGACGCGTTTTCAACAATTTCAAAACAGACACTCAAAACAGAAAACACAAAATGAATTCAAAACTCAAAACACAAAACTGAAACACGAAGAGAACGTCCCCTTAAGTACCCAAAACTCTCAAGCAATCCCTTAAAACCAAAATGGAGAAATAACAAATGTCCTTATTTATGATTTATTGAAAATTATCCTAATTTGTGTTTCAAATTTTGAAAAATAACAATTAGAATCGCTTGAAACCCAAGTTCATGTAAAAATAGAAGTGGCTAGAAGTGTCAATTCGGGTGGTTCGGGTCGGCCCGCCAACATATGAGCCCGGTAACGGCCCGCGTGAAAAAAGGCCTGTCCGCTACGGATTCTGAGCCGGTTCCAGATCAGCCCACAAATTTTGGACTACAACCCAGGCCCGCCTGCTGACCCATCCGGGTCGAGCCCATGCGGGTCACAGGTCGCGCGGGTCACTATTTGTTCCGATTTGGTCCGTATTATTGTATAAATAAAATTATAAAAATATAGAATTTTTCATATTTATAGCAAAAAATATTTTTTTGTTAAATGTAAACTAAGAATTGAATAAAATGATAAATTCATATTTATACCAAAAAAAATATTTACATAAAATTCAAATTTAATATTAAATGAATTATTTATAACTTTACAAAGTTAAATTTAATTTAAACAAATAACAACTAAATGCATTTCTAATTACTATTATCAATTATTTATAGTATAAGTACATCTCAATTAGATTGGCACTTACTTTTATTATAATTTATAGTTTAAGTATATCCCAATTAGGTTAGCACCTACTTAAGTTTTAACTATAATTTAGTTGTTCAAAAATTATATATTTTAATATTTGTTTTCTAATCAATCTTCAGGAACTGCAAAATTTTTAAAGTTTTCAGCAACATCATCAATAATTTTATCTTGCTCTCTCTCCCCATTTTTTTCACATTAAAAAAAAAAAAAAAAATTTCACGGACCAGCAAGTGTATATTAAAATATTTATATATTGAAGGGATATTCAATTAATTAAATGCAATATTGTTTTATATATTATCAATTGTTTGCCCATGTAGTGTGTAATAAAAACTATGTAACATTTATGATTATTATCGGACCACAAGTTAAACATAAATTATAAACGTCAATATATTTATTTAAATCACATGCTATGCACGCCTTTTTTATTGTAGCATTTGAATGCGGAGTGTTTTTAGAATATGGTTTGTACCCGGGGTGAAGATTTTTCATATGAAGTCGGTTAAGTAAATACTTTTCACTATGCTAAGTGTAAACTCATTGCTAGCTACGAATATCATAGTACTTTCGACATTACCTCTTGTGGATATTGTTAACACTAGTACTAGAACTCGCAGTAGGAGAACCAAAATCGAGTTGCACCTGATTTATTTTCATACCGCGTGTTTGACTAGGGGTGTCCAAAAGTCTCGAACCGAATCGGACCAAATTGAATCGAATCGAGCGGTTCTTCATAAATTAAATACCCGAACGGGTACCCGAATCGATAACCGATGAGTTTGTGTCGGGTCTAGATCAAGAACCGAAGAACCGAATAATAACCGAAACTGAATAATTTTTTTATTTTTTATATTGAATTAATTAAATTATTTTATTTTTTTTATACAAATTAGCAAATTAATTAAATAAATCAGATTATTTCATAATTTTAATTTTAAAACTCAAATCATTTTTAAAATCTATTAGCTCATTTTAATTTGAAACAAATGAATATACTTTATGTAATTTTGTTGTAATATTAATATCTACTTTTTGGTATTTGTAATTTTGTATGCATTGAATTAATTTTATTGGACGGTTAGTTATTTACATGTTTTTGAATTGGGTTACGTTAATTTGTAAAAGTTACGAATGAAATGTCATTAGTTGTATTTATGTAGTGTTGTTGTAAATATTAAAAAATTTAATTATGGTATGGAACCGAATCGAACGGGACCGACCCGACCTGACCCGAACCGAACCGAACGGAATCGAACCCGAACAATTCAATAATTATATTTGGACCCGACGGGTCCATTTATTAAATACTCGAAAGTTTTGGGTCGAGTCGGGTCTCTTCAGAACCAAACCGAATCGAACCGACTCACGGACAGCCTTATGTTTGACTATACATATTTGTAGTGTCTATTTAGATAAGTCGTGTCAATACTCTTGCCAAGCTAACTTCTCCTTGCAGTTTTTATGCAATGCTTTGTACTCTAGTTGTCCATTTACTACTGCATTTGGGTCACTAATTTGAAGTGTTCACATCACTTAGCCTTTTATTTGTTCGTTCTTTGCTTGTTGCTTGAACCTACTCTCACCATTTCATCATCTTCTTCAACGTCGTCCAAATTAATTGATTCATACTCCCATGCTCATCATCCAAATCATTAGGAAGTGAAATTTCATTTAGACCACTGAAATTATGATCTACGATGCAGTATTTTCTGGAGTGTCACCAAAGAATTTGTTGAACTCGCTAGTTTCCGACAATCTGTTGTAATCCATTTGGAATTAAAAAAAGGGATAATTGCAGCTGCGGTCCCAAACCTTTCAATTTTTTGCGCACTTTACCCTAACCTTTGATTTGTGCCAGCCACAGTCCCAAACCTTTCAAAAATATGCAGCAGAAGTCCATTTGGATGGAAACCGTCTAGTTGACCGTTAGTCAACCAAAAAAGTCAAAATTGGATCAATTTTAACCAACTTAATAAGGGCAGAACGGTCATTTTACAATTAAAACATTAAATAAATAAAAAGGTAAAAAAAAAAAAACAAAACAAAAAAACCCACCCTCTTTCTCTCTTCCCAGGGTGGGTCCCATTAAAAAATAACAACAAACAAAAAAAACAAAAACATTTTTTTCTCTCTCTCCCCAAGTCGCCGGCACCGCCGCCACCTCCTCCTTGCCGGCACCGCCACCACCCCTCCTTTGTGCACACCGCCACTGCCTCCTCCTCTTCGCCACCACCACCAACCAACCACCCAATCCATCAATAGATCTGGCTCGCCGTGGTTGATCCAGTGAATTAATGGACAAGAAAATGTGGAAAATCCCTCGAACAGCAAGCAAACGGTGAGAGTCGAGGCGAAGGGCAAAATGAAGAAGAGGAAGAAGAATTTGAGGATGAGCTAATAGAGAAGCTTCTGGAACCTTTTTCCAAAGACCAGTTAGCACTTTTAATTAAAGAGGCTTTGAGTAAATACCCTGATTTCATCAAGAGTGTGCACAAATTGGCTGATGCCGACCCTTCAAAGCTTTGACAAGCATCCGGAAAATCGCACCCTTCTGCAGGCCCAGCCCAGACTGCTCCTCTGCCAACTGTGGCAACTGTCCTCACCCCCACCTGTGTCGGAGTACACATAGAGGAAGATATACATTAGCAATGTCTCAGCGGAAATCGATCCAAATAAATTGTTGGAGTTCTTTTCCAAGTTCGGTGAAATTGAGAAAGGGCCGTTAGGGTTAGACAAGCAGACTAGGAAACCAAGAGGGTTCTTTGTTTACAAGAGCCTGGAGAGTGCAAAGACTGTGTTGATGGAGCCGCACAAGAATTTTGAGGGCCACACCTTGCATTGTCAAAAGGCAGAGGTAGCTATGGGGAGTTACTGTTACGAAGGAAATGAGGGGAGTTGTGAGGGCTGAATTGGGTGGTGTGAGGGATGAAGGAGATTGAACAGTTTTGAGGGGGACGGTGGTGTAGAGGAGGAGGCGGTAAAGAAGGAGGTTGAACTGATTGAGGGGTGAAGAAGGAGATTGCCAACTGGTTTATTAATCTTGATTTTTTGGGGTAGGAGGTGGAGCACCGCTTTGGTCGAAGGTGACAGTGTGGCAGTTTTCGGTACGGTCTCGTCGGAGAAGAGACCTTTTGCCGGAGAAGAGACTTCGGGGTTGGGTTGCTGGGAAGAGAGAGAGGGGGGTGGGTTTTTTGTTTTGTTTTGTTTTGTTTTTTTTACTTTTTTATTTATTTAATGTTTTAATTATAAAATGACCGTTCTGCCCTTATTAAGTTGGTCAAAATTGATCCAATTTTGACTTTTTTGGTTGACTAACGGTCAACTAGACGGTTTCCATCCAAATGGACTTCTGCTGCATATTTTTGAAAGGTTTGGGACTGTGGCTGGCACAAATCAAATGTTAGGGTAAAGTGCGCAAAAAATTGAAAGGTTTGGGACCGCAGCTGCAATTATCCCTAAAAAAAATTATACTAGAATTGTAAGCAACTCAAATAAGCAATTGGCTGTCCTTCTAAATAAATAGATGCCACATTTACAATCTCATTCTCAGAACTTGAAAAATCTTTCATTTTTATCATCAAATAGATGAAAAATTTGTTGGAAAAACATTCAATCCAGAGTGATGTCATTTAGAAACCACGTCAGAACTCTTCACTGAATTTGTTGAATCTATGAGTTTTGAAGACAGCTTATCATACTTGGGATTCATTGTAGGCATTCCTCTGATACCAAATGTAACGATCAAGGAGAAGAAGCACACTCTAAATCAGGAAAAAAATTACAAAGATTTTAATTGTGTCTCTCTCTCGTAAATATAAATAAAGAAAATATTATCATTCCTTATTAAGATAAAGAATGTTACATGTTAGTTGCCTCAGTATTTTTATTAGTTCAACAAATCGAGCCCTTGTTTGGTACATGTATTTTAAAATTCACTTTTAACCATACATTCTTTAAGTATACTGATTTTGTACGTGAACTCATAATTTTTCCTACTATCTAACAACACATTTTCTAGAATTATCACTTTTCAATTTTTACATATTTATTCTAAAAAAAATTTCATCAAAGAGGCCTTAAGTGTATGTTGAAGCAAAAATGTAAGTGTACTAATTTGGAAGAATAAAAAGAGTTGCTGACCAAAATGAGAAAATGCTATAAGATGGGTGCTAAGGGTGGTTTTAAACAAATTCCTATAGATCTCCAATGGGAAATAGAAAACTCGGAATGCTATTTTTGTACGTTGAACCTTACGAGTCACGTTGGCCTATAAATCCTTGTTTCATCAACACATGAACGCGCAGACTAAAGGGGAGAGTGGGGAAAATGGAGGGTTACCCACCAATACGAGAGATTCCCAATGAACCTGTTGTTAATCGTTACAAGTTCGCATGGCGTGCTATTCTCATTTTTAACTTTGCTCTTGGAGGTCAGTTCCCTTAAGCAATCATCTCCACCGCCCAAAATTAATAAATTGCTTATAAGTTTGTTTAATAGTATATTCGTGAAATCCATTTCATGAATTTGAATGCTATCCTCCTTTTGTTTATTATTTTAGATGGGTCTGGGTTATGTGATGTGTGCGCTTTTTTTTTTTTAGAGCTTGAAATTCTTATGATTGTTCACGTGTTCGATGATAAAGTTAATCAGTCTGCTATTGAACTCTCTGGGGTCTGATTAAAATGGGTTTTTTCTTGTCCATTTATACTTTGCTTATCTGTTTGTTTCAGTGAAAAACTGTAAAATAAAAGCAATAATTGCTTATGGTTATTTGCATAATTACAAATGAAAAGTTGATTATTGATTTTGAGGATGAAGTACTTTATGGGTAATATGCTTCATTTTTGTGGTGAAATTTTCCGTAGTTTTGCTATGATGTTAATGAGATGTGTATTTATCTTTGCATTTGGTCCAATCATTTAACTCAATCCTTGTATTACCATAGTTGTAAGAATTTTACATTGGCATATTGTGGTCAAAATTTTGCTCTTTGTGTTTCTTAACAACAGAACGTGTATCTGTTCAAAGTCGCTGCATTTCTTTGGAACTTCTGATTATGGTAAAAGGTTGGAACATAAGAACATGAACAAATTAATATGAAGCTGGAAGCTTGGTGGAGTTTCAAGAGGGTGAAATAGTAATAGATAAAAGAAGTTAGGAGATTACTAAATTAGCATCTACATGTAAGATCTATGGATTTTGAGTTGAGATGAATGTTGGAAGCAACGAAACCAATTTGAAGTTTCCCATGTTTAGTATGACACGAGAAGTAATGTTCCTGAAAAGAGCTTCACTAACTGATTTCATTTGTATATGGTACATAGTACAGAGTGATGACAGCACTTGAAAATAATTAATTTACCGTAAAATGTCCAGCGCTCCTCCTTCCCCCAGTTTTGGTTTTCTGGCCCCCTTTTTGACCCCTCTATCAACCTTCTTCATCCATTAGTTAGGTTAGTGCATCCTTTTCGTACTTAATCCTGATGTATAGACTTGGTATCTTGGTAATGGAATTCATTCTTTTGGTAGAGGTGAAAGATTGGTATCTTGTAGTGAGTTGGGGTTTTTTCGTAGGTTTTTGGTGGTTGATAGTAGGTATTGGAAATGCAATGCATGGTGATTGGTTGTGGTGGTTGAGTATATGTAGAGGTGGAGTTAATTGTTGTAGGCAGTTGTCGTCATTCAAGGTTAGCCCGGAAAATGGGAGACAAACATGTATCATTAGGTAAATGATAGCTAATGGTATTGGGCTAACAATGGTCAGCCGTTGATTTAGGTGATATCAAATATGTAATAGAGATGAGAGGGCGTTTTGCATCGTATGGCAGTAAATGTTGGTATGACAGGCCTTGAGTTTGCTCCACAATGGTCACCAGTTCGAGTCTCCTCAGGGCCACTGAGGTGAGTACCCAACCGTAAATTTCAGAACCCCGTGGGATTAGTCGAGGTGCTCGCAAGTAGGCCCGAACATCCACGGTTAATAAAAGATAAAATAAATGTTGGTATGACGTTGGAGTGGCGGATGCATGAATTTAGTTGGCAGGAGCTGAAATTTAGGAAAGTCAATGTAATAAAATGCATATATAACATAAAAAAGTCATTAAATTGTGTAACGTGTCTCGCATGTAGTTGGACAGAACATGGCATTCATTTTACTTGATGTTGATAGAACACATTTTTGAAACTAAAAATTGAGAGATTTTTAGGAAAAGTTACACTATTACAAGCCTTCACCTGTTGGTTTCAATGGATGGATTTCATTCATTTCATGCATTTTTTTAGAAAATTGGTATTTATTGAGCAGTATGAAGCCATGAAACCAAGTCTATTAGATTTTTTAAACTAGTATGATTGAATTATTAACTAAGGTTTGACCATGACATTTCTTAGGATCCGTTTGATGAACATTTAAATTTTTATCTACGTGATCGATGTTAGATGTACCAGTATCAAGTTTAGTTAAAATCAATTATGATCCAAAACTAAATTGTACTTTTTAGTTTTACATTAAATTTCTTGGAAAGAACTTGGCTGGAGAGATTATAAAATAGACAAACTGTCTAAAATCTATGATACATAAAGAATAACCATTAGTCAAAGAATCAAAATCATTAAGAAAAACACAAAATTAGATATCAAAAAGAGAGGGAAAAAAATGTGTAACACAAGAGTATATATAATAGACCTTGGAATCCCAAAAAGAATCGATAAAGAATGACATTCAAGTTTCTCTATATGCACAAGCCGGAAGTGGATGCTGGTTGGGATTTGGGAATGGTTGAAATGGGTAATTTCCACAGGGTAGGGAGGTTAGGGGGGTTAGAGGCTACATGACAGGCTTTTGGGCCAATTAGTGGTTAAAACTTGTGGGCTTATTTTTCTTTATAACTAGGCTATATATTAAAAACCTAAAATTTTTTGTTTTATTATTGGATGTGCGCCGGGGCTGGGACTAGACCAGGCTGTAGTCCAGTTCCGTCCTCCCCCTTGCTAATCCGGGCTTTGGATGGATGGTGTCATAGGAGACAACTCATTGATGCTCGTGAGTTTGTGGACTATGATGGCTTGGGCCTGCAATTATCAGGAATGGTGCCACGGAAACCAGATCTATTTTCATGTACCTAGACATTTTTCTGATCATATGAATAAATGCGATTATTTATTTATTCCATGATTCAATATGGTTTTTATTGAGCAAATATTGAGGGCCCCAGGATTATGAATTCTGCCCGCAAATGATTTTTGTGCTGAAACTATAACTCATATCCTATAATCTAAACTTTTGTACATGATCAGTAAATAAAGTTAGGTCACTTATCTGTAAATCCCACAGTTATCTACTTCACAAGTGGGTGAGTAGTTTATCTTAACTACAGATATTAAGACCTCTAAGTGGAAGAACCAGTGTATTTGGAATGCATTGGATAAGACTACATAAAATTTAGTTTAATCCAAGGCTGTCAAATGGTTAAAGTTTACTGGATGGATAAAAATGTGTTATTATGATCTTGAGTGGATAATGATCCTTGTTACAATCTAAGCTCTTTAAAATACAGAGGAGTGAAAATATAATTTGATCAACATCTGAGCATCTTGGAGTGCTCTATTGTAAATATTGGGAACGTCTATTATTAACGAGAGTTCAATATCTCCTTGAGCATTTTTTTTTCTACTTAGGTAAATCTGAGCATTCAGTAATTGCATTGGAAGTATGACATTCCTCTATGTGACTCCAATTTGCAGATAATTTACTAACATTGTTTAAGTGATCTACTAGATATTTTATTTGTATATCATCATTTTGGATAATTGCAACACTAAAGCAGGATAGGTAAGTTCCTTGAGAACTTTTGATAGCATTTTTGAATCTACTGATTGTTTTGTTTTTTATTCTGATCATACATTGCGGTCAATCGAATGCACTGGTTCGAGCTTCCATGTGAATTTTTGTTGCTTAATAATTTTTGTTTTTTTCTTTAATATGAACCTGATGATCATTCTTGATATTGACAAGATTCTGGTATAGAGTGTTCCATCATACCAATTGCTTGATTAATAACTGTTTATGCAAATGTGCAAATAACTTTTCTGATTTGCATGAGACTACATAAGATATTGATAGATCTCCTTTCGGGACATGTATTGATTGTTTCATTTGAGACCTCATTTTCTTGGAAGCGAGCATAAACAAGATTCCTGATAAGTAGAATCAACATATATGAATCTACTAATTGTTAATTTGATTGTAGAAAACCTTTATTAAAATATTTGCTGCTTTATCATCACTCTCGGTACCAATAAATTCAGGTAATGGCTGTCCTGGCACAACAAGTTTTAATACCAGTGCGAATCCTAAATATGCATGCAGAGGCTCTCTTGCTTTCCTCATTCGTAAGCACAGTATGGAGTGCCGTCTGTGATTTGATGGGCTGTTATAATTGCTCATGTAACAAGCAGAAATGTGAACTTTCTGAAGGATGAAATGATTCTTGGTTAGTCATTTGTAAGTTAGAATGAATAGTTCAAAGAATATATAGTGTTTTGATTCTAAATACACTGTATTTGTTTTGCCTAAAATGTTATTTTTGAAATCAGTACATTTTGTATTAGCAAGTTCTCAGAATCATCTGCAGTACTCGTGACAAAAAAAAAAAAAAAAGGATGCAGCATATTATAAATTGAAACTGGAGCAAGAAAGACTATACCAGTGTTTATATTGATAGTTGAAATTGGACCAGATTTTGATAAGGGATATATTTTCCTATTTCTTCTTCCTCAATCTGTTTTTCTTTTTCAATTGTTCTTCCCGTTTCGAACAGTTACTAGAAATTTCTTTTTCATATTTTACCTTTCTAATGCTCTTAAAAATATCTCTGACTTGATCAATCATATTGTTGTTTGGCAAAATTGATCAGAGGAAACTGAGTCAAAGTGAAATCTTCAAGCAATAAACTCTTTTTCATTGTTTTTGCAGCATATATGTTTGCGCAGGCAGGTAGGAAAGAAAGAGTCAAAGAGAAAACTGAAAGCAGAGCTGAAGTTGTTTCCACTCCAACTGCAACTACAACTCCCCCGGTTGAGGAACCAGCATTCACTCCTCCTGTCACAAGGCCTGTGATTGTGCGACAACCCATTCCTGAAGACCAGCAACGTGAACTTTTTGAGTGGATGTTGGAAGAGAAAAGAAAGATCAAACCCACAAATCGACAAGAGAAAAAGCAAATAGACGAAGAGAAAGCTATTCTTAAGCAGTTTATTCGCTCAAACTCCGTCCCCAGTATCTGATGTTTTACAGGCTATTCTTTATTGAAAAAGTTTGTTGTGGTGGATCGTATTCTACTCGTGCTTCATAGGTTTCAGGACCTAAACAACTCTTTTAATCCTTGGCAGTAATGCCGCGTTTGATCATTTGGGCTAGGATTTTCCTGAGTTAGGTAACTTCAACTAGAATCCTTTTGCCTTCTATTCTTCTGACATGTGAGGGAACACAACACAAGTAAATTGGCCTTCCAAGTATTTTGTTCACTGTTGCTCATAACTAGTGCAGAAGCCTGTTGATGAGTGCAATAGTTTGACTTTTTGTTACGCCACGTGTTCCAAACTGGTGTTAACAAACTTGTATAGAAAATGTCTCTCGATATAATGATCACCTCTTATGATAGTTGCATGCTTAGGCAAGCGTTTATAAACATGTTTAAAAATACATTTTGAAAGTTAATGGCATGTTCTCTTTGCCATTTTCAAGTCGTTTTCTGTTTTCGATTTTTCAAAACAGCGAAAACACGTTCTCTTTCCTATTACACGCAAGATTGAAAACAACAAAAATGTCGTTTTCACCGTTTCCAGGCAAAAGCACCAAATGGACTGAAAACACGTGAAACGTAGCCAAATTTAAAAAAAAATACAACCTCTCTCTCTCTCCTGCAAGAACGAAGCAACAAGACCTCCGTTGCTTACGAGAGGAGTCGAATTCTATCTTCAAAGGAGTGGTGGCGGTGGGTCGCTGTTGTTGCTTGGATGGGCGGGGGCTGGTGTTCGAAAGAGTGGCGACGTCCCACGTTCTTCGAGATGTTTATCATTGCTTACGAGAGGAGTCGAACTGTGTGTTCAAACTCGTCAATCGACGAGGTGAGAACGAGGTTTTCTTGGAGCGAAGATTTGATTCGAACTATTTTTATATTTCCCCATTTATATTCCTAATCCCAAACGCCCCCAAGGAAAAAATTATTAACCTAATCAAATTTGTCCATAATTTTGATGCATTCCTTTTAATTTTATTCATTAATTCCCGTGTACAGTTCTGAATTTCTTTGTTTTTTATGTTGAATAATTGGTTTTGCTTTTAGATCCGTGTTCAGTTTGTTTGCCTTGTGTGAATGTGTGAACTTGTTTTTACTTAATTTGTTCGATTGATCACCTAATTTTATCTCTTAAGCACAAAAACAAAAATTAATTTCAGTTTCTTACAAAGGCTACTTGAATTGTTTAATAAAATTTCATTTAGGTTGACGTTTTCTGTTTTCATATGGAAAAAATATTTCAAAATTCCACAGCTTCAAAATTACCATTATTATTTAAGACTATATTAACATTAAACTATTAAAATTTATTGAATTATCAAATTTTTGGAATAAAATTTTATTAAAAAAAATTCTCAAAATTTCAAAGCAAATGCGTTTTCTAGTTTTATGTTTTCAGAAATAGTTTTCCAAAACAACAAAAATAACACATTTTTAACAAATTCAAAACAGGCACTCAAAACACAAAACACAAAACGAATTCAAAATTCAAAACAGGAAACTGAAACACAAAAAGAACGGCCACTAAATTATTTTGTTTACATATTTCGTGGAACTCATAAAGAGTACCCACTATTTACAAATTATTTATATCGTTTATAAATACTTGTCAAACATATACTTAGCAGTTAACTCCTAGATGGAGAATCTAACAAAGACGATGTAGACAAAATGGGGTATGTATGCATAATGAGAGTATGTTTTCATTACATCTCATTTCTTGAGGAAATGTGTAATTATATGATGTGTGTAAAATTAGCCTTCCAAGAACTTTAAATTCTAAAAAAAATTGTCGACACCATTTCGTTAGATGGGAAAAAAAGGATTTGTGTTCATGCCTAGTATGCTTCGATACCAATTTCTCAAAACACTCGCCTTGAAGGGTCCAAAAGAGTTACGTTCTACATTACAAGTGATGATACACTCTTACGAGGTCTCGAAAAGAAGTGTAATTGGCGAGTTGAGATCTATTGTCCACTCAATGAATTTTTGACACACATGTCAACAATTTGGTGGGTTAGAAATGAAGTTAATGATGATAAATTTGAAATGACATGTTAATTTAAAAATGATGTATCAATAATTAATTAGATAGACAGAAAAATGGACAGGAAAAATTGAAAAACCTTTTTATATGACTTTTTCTTTGTAAATTATAATATTTTATTCAATTTTCTCAATAAAACCTTATGAAATAATGAATATCCCTCATTCTTAAATAAAACAAAAAGAAAATAAGAAAAAAAAAATAAAGAATTAATTGTAAATGTAGTCTAATTTTTTTTTTAATGATGATTAGCACATAACGTCCCTATATTTCATTGTTATTGTGGAAAATATTAATACCTTTCATTATTTGGCATTTTCACCATTATTTTAACATTTCATTGTGCAAAAGGTCATTTTTCACATATTTTCTCAGTTAAAAATTATGAAATGACGAATATACCACTCTATTTAAATAAAACAAAAACAATAAGCGCAAAAACTAATTGCAACCACAGTCCCAAATTTTTTTAAAAAGCGCAAATAAGTCACAAATAAATTATTAAAAGGGAAATCAGTACATAATGTTCATAACTTTTACCGTTATTGCGAAAAATGTCTATACCTTTCATTTATTTTGACACTTTCACAATTAATTACACATTTGATTACGCAAACAACTATTTTTATCCAATTTCTTAATAAAAAATTGTGAAATGACAAATATACCCTCCTATTTAAATAAGAAATTAAAGAATTAATTGCAACGATAGTCTCACTTTTTTAAAAGTGTAAACAAGTCCCCAATAAATTATTAATTTTTTTTAAAAAAATGAAAAAGAGTCATAATTAAATTTATTTAAAAATTTAAAATTTTTTAAAAAATTAAAAAATGCAAACGAGTTATAAAAAAATCATTAAAGAATTAGAAATTAAAAAAATATATTTTTATTTAAATATGAAGGTATATTCATCATTTCACAGTTTTTTATTGAGAAATTGAATGAAATTAGATAGAAATGATTGTTTGCACAATCAAATGTGTAATTAATGGTGAAAATTCCAAAAAATGAAAGATATCGATGTTTTTCACAATAACGGTAAAAGATAGAGACATTATGTACTAATTACCATTTTAATAATTTATTTGTGACTTATTTGCGCTTTTAAAAAAAATTGGGACTATTGTTGCAATTTTTTTCCTTTTCCTTTTTCTTTTATTTAAAGAGATGGGTATATTCGTCATTTCATAATTTTTAATTGAGAAAATATGTGAAAATAATCTTTTGCGCAATGAAATGTGAAAATAATTGTGAAAATATCAAAAAATAAAAGGTATGAATATTTTCCACAATAACAATGAAAAATGGAGACGTTATGTGCTAATTACCATTTTTTAAAACATGTAAACGAATCCCAAATAAATAATAAAAAAATTAAATGGATATATAAATTAATTTTTTAAAATTATTTAAAATTTAAATTAAATAAATAATATTTTCACTATATTTTATTTATAATAACATCGACGTATAAGTTAATTTATATCTTCTATTTCATCTTCAATGAACTTATTTTAATTAGTGTATTATATGTATAAATCAAAATGGATGACGACAATATCATAAATTGCTCTTATTTGATGAAAATTATAATTTAGATTTTTATTAAAATCAAAGTCAATGATAAGTGTATAAAATAGACTTATTAGACCGTCAAAACATGAATATTTGGATTAAATATAGTTGAATTTGTTGTTTATTGCATGTTTTAGAATTACATCGATAAATACAATGGAATTGGAAAAAAGGAACAAGAAATGGGGCTAACTGAAGCTAAAAGAGAAATTGGGGATTAAAATGCAAATAATAAAAAGTTGGCTTGGAGCGAGAAATAAAAAGTCGAGAATGTGAGGACCCAATTGGACAAGAAAAGAAGCGAAATGATTGAAGATAATTGATGAATGAAGAAAAAAAGCTCTGGGAAAGTTCAGGGGCCAAGTTGCAATTTGGCCCCAAAAAGAGCACTGAAGCTGCCTAATAGGGCGTACGCCTCACTATTAAACTAGGAAAAATCCAATTTTCCTTATTTCGTTTTGATAATAATTTAAGGCAATCTTTTTGACATGTTATAAGGGAAAATCTTGTGAAGAAAAAGGGCAAGTCGTATTTTGAGAAAAAAAGAGAGAATTTACATCTAAAAATGAAGAATTCGTCGTTTGTATCCGGATTTGAAGGCTTGAATTGAAGATTTCCAGATTTTCTTCATATTTCAATGATTCGGGTGATGACTTCTTTTNTTTCAATGATTCGGGTGATGACTTTCTTTTATTTTCTATGTAATTCTTACATTAATATGCTAGGTTAAATTTAATTGTATTGGATGGATGACAAAACTCTTTGATTCTTAGTTTATCATTCAAGACTTCGTATTTTTAGTTTAATTCTTGCGTTGTGATTTCATAAATATGCATGATATATTGTTTTAATGATTGCACACCATTAGAGAAATAAATTGCTTATTCGTAGTGTTAAAAACTCATGGTAGGTAGAACATTGTTTATGGAATACAAAAACAATAAATATTAGGAATAGTATTTACGAAGTGTGTGGTCATCTGTGATAATCCTAAATTTCAATGCATATTTATCATATGAATGCGGACTAAAAATATGATCCTCTTGAGATAAATATATGTTTATTATATTTTGGAAAAGAATAATAAATAAAAGTGGAGTTATCGATCGTCACAATTGCATGAATTGAATTAACTATAACAATTTGAGGATTGAAATTAAGAATTGAGTAGTAGAGTTGGAAATTCAATACATTCGTCACATTTTATTTAAATAAGTGTTTATTACTTTCGTAGTAATAAAACGTAGTTAGATACAAACCAGTCATATTTTGTTACAACCATGAATTTAAATATATCAAATACACTAGAATTGAGCCTTACTCTCCATGAGACGATAACTCTATCATCACGATTATTACTTGT